TTCACTGGGAAATACCTTGGGCTGGTCCCAAAAGTCTCCGGACAAAACTCTTCGAATACACTGCCCTGAGGTCTCGTCCTGGATGTCAGCATCATTTTGGAGTCCGGTTAGGGAGGAAGGCTGGAGATCTCAACAACTGTAGGTCAAGTTTCACTGATTCCCTTGTTTTCAGCATGGTGCCCACCCTCCATTGTGCCTGGCGTCCACGTTCAGACATCCTCGTGTTCGTCTTCTCCAGGGAGTAAGCCTTGGTTGTCCACCAGGGTTGGCAGAGGCAGATGCCAGTTGTAGGGATTGAAGGGGGCAGCGGAGGGGATATGGTAGTGTTTAAATGCCTCTTTAAAAGATCTCTGACTTTGGGGCGCCTGGGTAGCTCAGTTGGCTGAGCATCCGACTTCAATTCAGGTCATGATCTCATGATTTGTGAGTTTGGACCCGAATCAGGATATCAGTGGGAGCCTGCTTCGGATTCTCTGTCCACCCCCATCTCTGCCCCTTCCTCATTCGTGTTCTCTCTCTCAAAAATAAATATTAAAAAAAAAAAAGATGTTTGACCAATCTTCTGTTTTTAACACCACTTTTGCCCCCATTTCCAAAGATACCTAGAGTCTCTGGTACTGCTGATTCCCAAGTCTTGAGTAGGGATGGGGGGTGGAGTGCAAATCGAGTTTCTTTTCTGCTTTCCCCAATACCAATTTTGGATTTAGCTTTCTAAATCAGTAATCACCCAGCCATCTGCTTTCAGACTTCCAAGATTTGGTTGCTGTTGTCTCCTTGTCCATTCCTTTTAAAAGTCCCTTCGCTCTTGCTTTAGAAGGATTCTGGGAGGTAGGAGTAAACACATGTTCAACCTGCCATCTTTAACTCGAAGTCTTTCTTCATGCATTGTTTTTGTCAAAAATTATTTTTACTGAATAAGAAGTAATATATACTTACTTCAGAACATTCTACAAAGCATACAAAAAATAGGAAAAAAAGTCAAGTGGAAACATAATGAAATCGCATTTCTTCATTGAATTTTTTTCCTATCCTTTGTTTACATCATGGACTTCATGTTACATTTACATTTTCCACTTCTGCATCATTAACTTCCCCTATCAACTGGATCACTGCCATCAGTATCCCTCATCGGCGTTAGCGATCCCCATCTTAAGGAGACAGGGTCCGCTCCCCTAGCCACTGCCCCCTTATTTCCACTCCCCACTCACTGATGGTGGGCGCTGCCTCCCTCCCCTCCCATTCTCCCCTCCATCCACTCCATCACACCGCCAACGCTCCTCCTGCCGAGGTCACTGGTGGACACGGCAGTTTCTGCCTCACTGAGCTGCACAGCAGGATCCAACATGGTTGACCACGCTCCCTGCTTCTGGAAGCGCCCTCCTCTTGAAATACCCAACAATGCGCTATCCGAATTTTGCATCCTCTACTGACTGAGCCAGCCGCCTGCTGGGCCCCAACTATCCTAATTTTTTGCTACCTTTCTGACCACTCCTTCCGTTTCCTTCGGTTCCTCTGCTTCATCCTTCCTTTTTCAAATCCTGGCTGTGCATGAGAATCATCTTGGAAGTGTTTTAAAGAATATTAACGCCTAGGCCCCACCCAGACTGATATATTCCAAATCGCCAAATTTACTCTAAAATTCAGGGCTCCCAAGGGCATGGCCTCTGCTCTTTCTCCTCTCCCTCTCCAGACTGGGCCTATGCTACCAATGCCCAGATGTCTGTCTCTAGCTCACATTTCTGTTTTTAACTCTTTATTCAGCTGCTTTCTCAACACCAACACTCTCTCCTGGAACCCCTGCAGAGATCTCAAACCTGACATGTTCTTGTCATATGTCTAGGTCTGCACCTCCTATTGACCTCCATCTAGTGTCCTACTGCAGTCACAGGCGGGGGGGGGGGGGGGGGGGGGGGGGGGGACAATCTCCCTCGGTCAACACCCGCCAACTGCAGGTTGTCTCGAAGTCTCTACTGCCAAAACAGATCTCGGAAATACCCGCTTCTCTCCTGGGCTACGCCACGGTCGCCTGCTTGGACTACAAAAAGTCTCCGCCTGGTCTCCTAGCTTCCAGACTTCCTTCCTTCCAGTAAGTTCTCCCTGGGGCAAGTGGAACTCCTACTTGCTCTTTAAGTTCCCACTAGACATTCCACTTGCCAAAGAGGCCTCTTCTGCTCTCCTATCTCAGTAGAGTCGATTGGGCTTGGATGCTTGCCTCCACAGCTCTCCCACTGTTCCTTACTGTAATTTTATATGCGGGGGGTAGAGGGGGGCTGGTTATTGCTATAAGCCTCTTGACATATGCAAATTGATGAACTAAGTAATAAACATACAAATGAAACATATGGTATACAAACTTCACTTATGATTTTAGTGGCTAAGAGACTATTGTCATGCAACAAAATATTTGTACATCTTAATCCATCGTTTGGATTCTCTTCCATGTTACAGACTCTCAGAAAGGGAAGGAAATGATTAGGTCAAGTATATGAACACTTGAAATATTTAAAACGTATTTACAGACTAAAAAAATATCAAATTGCTTTTTAAAAAGTCTGAGACCTTGGATCTCAGCCATGCCTTCTGGTCTGTTTTACTCTCTGCTCATCTGTTAGGTGAAAACGGCACCTGGCTTCGCCGGGCCTCTATTGCCCCCTCATAGGGCCACGAATGGGAGCCCGGGCTCTGGGTATTTGGAGAGCAGAGTCGATATCTGAATCATTTTTGGATCTCCTTGCCCTCAGGGATCCAAACCATAAATAACAGTTTACTGAATAAATTTTACTTAGCCAGTTCATAAAACTGTCACGTTCAATGCATTTGGAACTGTGAAAGTTCTCAACGTGCTAGGCTTTTCCTCACCGGTATCACACCAGAGCTGGTTTTGCAGCCACCCTTCTCAGGGAGAAGACACAAGAACAGGCAGGTTACCACTAGCACGTCTGGGGCTCAGATAACCGCAGATTCACAGAACAATCCCACTGTCCAGAGGCCAGGGCCTCTGGTCTCGCACCGGGGTGCGAGTTCACAGCCAGCCCTGTGTGACGCTGGTTCCCACGTCCTCCCCTGTCCTCCCTCCAGTCCAGGCTCTGAGACGCCAGAGATGGTCAGTGGAACAAATGGCACATTCCAGCCACACAAGGCAGCCTCTGTGAGGCGGCCGCTTCCCACGGAAGCTCGGGCCACAGATGTGCGTGTGCCAGAACAAACCCGGCCTGAGGCAGAGTGGGTTGAGGTGATTTGCTTTCAATTCTGGCCCTACCCTGTGGGAGGCCCATCTGTGATGAGGGTGTGAACACATCGACGGGGTTCGGGGATCGATGTTGTCATCCCAGCGCTTCTAAGAAGATGCTAGAGAAGCAGTGCGTGGACCACAAAATCCTCCTGGGACGTCAGACCGGACCTTAGGGTATTTACCATAAACCGCTCTCCCGTCTTCTCATTCTCAGCCTCCGAGGCCTTCTTTCTCATTTCTTCTGCTTCAGATATGTTTCTTCTTCTCACCTGACCTTCGTTTTTGGCTGTGGCCACGCGAGCCTTTTGGATACGCTTATTTTCTTCCAAACCAAAGGACCCTCTGCCAGATACTATACTTTGTCCCCAAGCCCCCGTTCTCGCCTACTTTTAAATCGTCTTTTTTGTCTGCCAGAATGAATTCAGAGGAGCCTCTACTCTCAGTGTGAGTCTCTAGGAAGTAAGGCCACTGGCTTTCTCTGAAGGATGCCAGCACCCATTTTCCACAGGCTTCTGTCTCTTCTGTCAGTTGCCGTTGCTTTCGGTCCACGGGGTTGACGTTGCTCGGTGTCTCTGGGCCTCCTGCCGGAAGCCGGCTGACAGGTCCTGGAATCGGCGACATTACTTCATAACAAGACCTGGCTGTAGGCTCCAATGAGTTCTCCCGCGAGACTGTCATCCTTTTTCAAAAGATATGATCACCAATGATGTCTGGCTGCGAAGGACAAGCATCAGCTTCGCTGCAGACCTTCAAGGTAGATGATATGAGCCCAAAGGCGATTCCAGAGCAGGAACTCCAAAAACAGACTGTGCACCACGAGAGCACCCGCAGGGCAAGCATGTGGGCCACGGATAGGGCAGCTGGGGAGGGACAAGACCCCACGCAGAATGAGAACAGCTGGGGTTTACTGGGCCACTGGTGCATGCCAGTCACCCCATCAGGCCCTAGGTATTATTCCCAGTCCTATTTTGTAGATGGCGAAAACAAGTTTCCAAAAAGGCTGAGGAACTAACATCAAACCGCGAGTGAGCAGAGAAGCTGGGATTCTAGGGCAGGCACCTGACACTGGAGTTTGTACTTGAGAATATGGCCAGTCCAGCTTGGCACCTTTCTGCTGCCTCCATCAAACCGTCCCATCTAAGAAATTTTTTTTAATCTTTATTTACTTTTGAGAGAGAGAGAGAGCAGAAGAGAGACAGGGAGACACCGAATCCGAAGCAGGCTCCAGGCTCTGAGCTGTCAACCTGGGAGCCCGGCCAGAGGCAAAACTCCTAAACCAGCGAGATGGTAACCTGAGCGGCTGGACAGGTTGACCGAGCCACCCGGATGCCCCTCAAACTGTCCCACCTAGACATTGTCCTGCATGTTGCACAACATTCCCGGTCAAGTCTGCCTGTCCCTATCCTTCCACTGACCGGCTGTAGGACCCAGGGTGTGGCCCTTCTCTGGGGGGCTCCAGAATGCATGATCACTAGCATCCCGCCAAGTGACCACTTTTCTTTCGGTTCTGGTTTTGTTTCCTGCAAGAGTGAGACAAGGGCAAACACTCCCTAAGACGATGAACCCAGTGGCATTTTTATTTGTTGGCCACTTGGGCCACTGGGGATTGAGGAGGCCTCCAGCAGGCCCCAGTACCTGCAGGCCTCCTTCCCACACACAACTTGCTGACACATCCCTCCGGGGTCTACCGTGGATTGCAACGCTCCATGCTGGGCCCCCTGAGTGCTGAAAGATCTAGGAGGCAGAGCTCCGGGCCACCCAGTAGCCACTCACCAGCACTGGGATCCGCGGGCGTCTCGCCTTCCTCGGAGTCCTCTTGTTCCTGCATGGTCGGCCTCTCCCCACGCTCCATCTGCGACATGAGGTCTGGTTTGGAAATTGCATAGTCTGGGCAGAAGGAAGGAAAGAAGGCATCCTGTGTGGTGAGGTGTCACCTGGGTGACCGGGACCCCAGGAGCAGCCACCCTACCAGTGGCCGTGTCGGAAGAGAAACGGGCCAAGTTCCCAGCCCTTCTCCTTAGGGGCCCTGGTGTGTGTGGGCCTGCACGCGTGTGCGTGCATATGTGCGTGTGGGCCTGCACGCGTGTGCGTGCATATGTGCGTGTGGGCCTGCACGCGTGTGCGTTAACCAGGGCCTCCCACGAGGGAGCCGCAGCAGGCACCGCCTTCCACCGGTGGAAACTGGCCCTCTGTCATCTGTGGCTCCCAGTGCCGCCAATGCCTGCTCAGGTTCTCATGACAAAGACCCAAGAGATTTGAAATCTCCTAGAGTGAAAAACTAATCCTGATGAAACCTAGAAGCCATCAAACTCGATAGTAATAGTGTGCCTCACATTAAAAAAAGTTTAAAGCTCTTTGGAAACAGACTTATGAGATAAACCTGGAGGAAATACATGTGCACGTATTTGTCATAGGTGAGGCTTCTATACTAAATAGTTAACGTCCATCATTATATATAAAGAGCCTCTACAATAAGTGAAAAATAAAAAAGGAAATTTAAGTACGTAATTCACAGAGGAAATGCAAGTGGCCAGCACACGCAGGAAAAGATACACCAGTTCACCAGTCATCGAAGACAGACATACTTAAATAATGAAGTGTTATTTTCCACCCGACAGAAAAGACAAGTATTTAAAATGGAAGGACATCGGTTCGGGCCAGGGCACGGTGAGACGACATTGTCACACTCTGTGGTGTAAACACACACAGCCTTCTGGAGGCAGTGGCCGTGGTATTGTAAACCTGCACTCTCCTTACTCGGCGAACCTCCTCCTTGGAATGTGTCCCATGGAAATACTCACGGAAGCACACATAAATACACAGAGATGTCGATTACGTTTGGTGGCAGCGAGAAGACGCAATCGGCCTGCCGCTCACCGACAGCAGAAAGGTCAAATGCCCAGAGGTTCACCTGGAATGCTGCCCCGTCTTTCTGAGCTGACATGGAAAGCTGTCTACGGCCTACGGGTCGGTAAAATAGGTGAACAATCCCATTCGCGCACACAACAGACTGCATATGCACGAGTACCTGCCTCGTGTGTGCGTGCGTGTGCGCGCGCGCGTGTGTGTGTATTACTACCCGCCAAAGGGTCTGTGGTGGTTTCCTCTGGGGAGAAGTACTGGGGGGAGGGCAGGGATTGCTCCTTACTATATAAATCTAGATTGCTGAATTTTCACAATTATGTATATACTTTCAAAAGAAAAGAAAAAAATGAAAAAAAAGTCCTATCGGGGAGGTATGTGTGCAGAAAATTAACGGTTCTGACAAGAATCAAAGTTTCTATGCAACAGCATATATAATGTTTTTCTAACTTTTTGTGAGTGTCCAAAGAGTTTCCCATCACAGAGAAAAGGATACCTATAAAACTAAAGTATATTGTCCCAGGTTTGCCTCCTTAAATACTCTTATTAAAATGAAAACAGCAAGAATCCACACTTTGGGGTATTAGAGTTCTCAGTGAAATTGTGACTTTTTGGTAGGGATCTGGCATGAGTATTAAACTCCTGGGTCACAGCCTTCTCTATGCACAGTAGAGACCAGAACCCGGGGGACATACGCCCTCCATCAGGGACAATGTTCAGTCAGCTGGATGGTCCAACGGGAGCACTAACACCTGTCCCGTCTCCCTCACGGGAGAGTCGGGGGATTAAGTAACGTGCTTCTCAGTGAAGCACCTCGCACTCTGTTTAATAATAGTTTGCTGGACAAATTCATCACACACACACACACATACATATACACACACACACACAGACCATGGGGAAACTCATATAAAGGTGAGACCCTGATGTCTGTCTTCCCCCTTCTTGCCCCAGTGTCCCTTGTTTTTGACTATGGGGAGCACTGGAGCACAGAACTCCCAACATTTCCAAACCCCAGGCCGGTGTCGAGGAAGCCCCCCATAAGCGAACCTTCTCCTTACCCATAGAAACCAGAGACTCATAGTTGCCCCTCATCACGTTCTTGTAGAGCTCCTTCTGCCACTCCGACAGGTTCCCCCACTCCTGCTCTGAGAAATGGACGGCGACATCATCGAAGGTGACAGGGACCTGAAACCACACAAGCTTAGCTTGGACCGACCAGAAGGCAGTCACAGGCCCTCAGCTGCCAAATCACAAGGCGGTGAAAGGCTCCACTCTTCCCCCCACCCACCGCCCTGGCTCAAACACCTCTTCTTAGGACTGGAGTGGGCGAGGCCCAAAGGCACAGCTGTAGGTATTCACCACGGATCTCTCTAGAAACCTGGCCTGACTTTAGCCACTGTCCTGGCCCCACAGAGTAAGGGCCTCATTTTATCTGGTCTGTTTTCTGTCTAGGATAATCCTTGCGGCTCTAAAAGCATGGTCTGCAGACCAGCACCATGGTACCAGGGAACCTGCTAGAAATGCAGCCCCTCAGGCCCGCTATAGGCCCACTAAATTGGATTCTGCGTTTAGTAAGGTCCCCAGGGGATTCAAGTACACAAGAACATCTGAGAAGCACTGGCCTACAGAATGTTGTCCAAGTCTCTTCCCTACATAAGGCTGTGAACAGGGACAACACACAAAAGAACAGAAAGAAAACCAGTCCACGTTCAAGTTCTATCAGGATCTTCTGGGACATAATATTAAAACCCAACCACTCCCTCGCCTTTTAGGATACCTCTTGAAATCACATTTTTTTACTGGCATCAACATAATTTATAAGTCAACTGATAAAAGCGTCAGGCCAGACAGAGCCCTGGAACATTTCAGCAAGTTCTCCATCCACCTCAACAGTGAACCACGGGTTCACCCCTGTTGTGAATTGAACACCCTTCCAAACCGACGGTCCCTGGTCACTAGGATGCCGTCGGACATTCTCTTCTATTCACGTAGGGTTTTATTAACGGGACAAATCATCTGAATTTGGGCCATCTTGGGTTTAGTGCAGCAATGTTGGCAACTAGGTATCATTGTATTTGTTTCCTTTTTTTTTTTTTTTAATTTTTTTTAATGTTTATTTTTTGAGAGAGAGAGAGAGAGCGAGCCAAGAAGGGGCAGAGAGAGAGAGGGAGACACAGAATCTGAAGCAGGCTCCAGGCTCTAGCTGTCAGCACAGAGCCTGATGCGGGGCTCGAACCCACAAACCGTGAGGTCATGCCTTGAGCTGAAGTCTGGCGCTTAACCAACTGAGTCACCCAGACGCCCCCAGTATTGGTTTCCTTCTTAAGCATCTCTTTTCCCTTCTTTTATATGAAATTCCTAGAACACGTCCCAGTTCAGATCGCTCCTTGGGAAGCCCCAGTTGGGATAGCTCTTACCTTGGGAACTTCTCCGTTGCTGCCTGGTGGCAGCCGCAGGATCCAGAAATTTCGGTTTTTCAGCAGGTTCTCCATGTTCTCCAGCCGCCTCTGCAGCAGCCCGTACTCCTGCAGCAGGGTCCCCAGCACGACCCACTTGCTCTCCAGATGGTTTGCAAACTCCACGGCCGTCTTCTCGCAGTCCGCCAGCTTCTTCTCGGCCGTCCCCGTCCGCCCCTCCAGGGTCAGGAGCCGCATGGCCTGGGCCTCCAGTTTCCTCTCCACGGCCTGGACGGCAGCCCACACGGCCAAGCGGGTGATCTCCGCTGTCGGGAGCGGTGTGTCCTTCTGGGCTGCCGAAGAGATCTGGAAGGGGGTGTCTTTTTGGGAAACTGGGCTCTGAAGCAGGGGGTCCATGTCAGTCTCGGGAACTGTGGGGGACAGGGTCAGGGGGTCTTTCTCAGGAACTTCAGGCGAGTGGAGGAGGGCTTCTTGGTGGGGGGTGGAGTGGGACAGAAGTGATATTTCTTGTTCAGCAGCAGCTGGGGGTGGATACTGGGTCTCTTCTTGAGAAGCCGGGCGACCCTGGAGACGAGTCTCTTGCTCAGAAGCGGCAGGATACAGGAGTGAGGGTCCCTTCTGGAGAACGTGTGGCATTCGGCCAGAGGTCTCTAGCTTGGGAGTTTGGGGCAGGGAGGCTTGTCGGGGAATGGGGGGAGACGAAGAAGGAATTTCTTTGGGGGGAAGAACACGCGATTGGAACAGAGTTTCTCGGGGGGGTCCAGCAGGGGCCTGACGTGGGGTCTCTTCTTGCAGAACACTGGGGAAGGACAGAGGTGAGGAGCGTTGGGTCTCCATGTCCAGCTGCTGGACCTGTGGTCAAGGAAAGAAAGGGCAGGATTGAAGGCCACAGTCTCCAGCTGGCAAAATAAACGCCAAAGTTAGGCACCCACATAAAAAAGGGTTTCTGGTTTATTGGCAATCAAGATCTGTTCCACGGACACGACTCTCTTCTTGAGAACCTCACGCTGATTCAGAGATCAGTTACAAAAGCACAACTAACAACCAAGAAAGGGCGGCCATGCCACCTTCTGCTTCGATGGAGGCGTCTCTTTCTTCACAACAGATGCCTCACAGGATCACCCATGACCAGCAGCGTATGAGACGGACGCTGGCCTTGGCTTTCGGTCCTGTCCACACGGACCGCTGCCTGGTTACTCGACCTGTTCGCAGTGTCCTCACACGTGAAACAAAGACCACCTCGCTGAGTTTGAGCACTGAGCATAAAATGAAATAAAACCTGGCAAAACGACAGAGCAGAGTTTTATCAGTGCCGGGCACTGTTACTACCCCAAGACTCCCAGCAAGGTGGGAGGAGACAGCGGTGGGGCCAGTGCTGTTCGAGGACTTACCTGGAAGATGAACGTGCCATCTGGCCCCACTGCTTCTTATGTGAATGATCAGGCAGTCCCAGCCCTCTTCATGCTTTCCCTCACTTACTCTAGTAGTGAGGACACACAATTACCTTGTTTCCCAGGCTCTTTGATAAAAGCTTACTGACTTAGCAATAGCATTTTTCAAAAGACTTATATGGTATAGGTTTGACTTTGAGACATGTTATATGGACCCAGCCCCTCCTGGAGAGGCTGAGTGGGCTTCTGGGCAGTCCAGGCTATAAGCAAAGAGAGAAGAGAGACCCTCAGCCAGGCCAGGGATATGGCAATTCAGCCACTTGTACGGGAGGCAAAGTCCCCGGGGCAGATGGTCCACTGAGGCAGGTGCACTCCTGGTGGTCTGGGTTCCTCCCTGTGGTTTGTGAGATGGGAACTGAGGAGCCAAGGCCTGGACAGACTGGAAACAGAGCCAAAGTCAGCCAGTTCTGTGACTCGCCTCAACGCTGGTGGGGACTAGAACCAAAAGAAAGATCGATTCCTTTTGAGACTTTCTTTATTCACTCTCTTCCTGTTCCCCACCTTGCTACATTCACATTGAGAGAATTCTTGTGTCACCGGGGAGGTGAAGCCAAGGTCTTCTGAATGACCAGCTCTGTATTTACTTATCCAGACAATCAATAGCTTTATTGGAGCTGAACAGAATTCCTTCTATAACATGTTTGTCCATTTCCTCATCATCTTCCTTCAGCGAATCTGAATGGCCTGTCACTGTGCCACACACAAGCGATCTTTAATACAACTGAAATGCCCCTTCTCTTTGTTTGAAAAGGAGTATATCGCTGGTGTCCAGTCTGACATGTAGTACGTGCTCAATAAATGTCTGCTGGATGAATGAACAGGATACGTGATTGGGTCACAACAAAAACAAAAATGACGCTCCTTCGGTCACCTGTCAGAGCCTAAACCTATTTACGTTTCCTCCTGCTCTCTTTCCTTTATTTGCTCATTCATTCACTCACGAGAGCCTTAACTGAGACAGCACCACACTCTCAAGCCAAGAACTGAAAACGTAAGGCCTGTTCAGGCAGAATGTTTTCCGAGGTAAGTACATCCGAGAGCTCTGCAGCTAGCCAGATGTGAGAGCCTATTAGTCAGATAACAGCTAACAATTACTCAGCACTTACTGTGTGCCATGAACAGTGTTAAGCATGTTAAAGGGTTATCTCATTTAATCCCCAGGAAACCCTATGAAAGAGGGACTCTGAGAACCATTCCCCACACTTAGCATATGAAGACGCTGAGGCGTGGAGAGGCCAACTCACTCGGCCAAGGTCACACAGCGGGCTGGCCGCAGAACCTGGGCCTCCGGGCAGCTGGTTGGTAAGTGTTCTGAATCCTCTCCACCTCTAACATCCAGAGGCATGGAGACTTCCCAAAGACCTGGGGGTAGGTTCTATGTTAGGGAAGGCCCTGCCCATAAAGACAGGGCCGCTGAAAGCCAGGGGTCAGGGACGCCTTTGAAACCCTAATGAAAGTTAGGGATT